ATAAACCTCCTATACTAGTTAGTAAACTCTAGGAACATTAGGATCTCCTTTATAGATTCTGGTTATGGCTATTCTATAATAGTATTAATCTATAAAGATTCTATTTCCAGACCTTCTAGTATAATTATATAGCCTAAGAAGTTAATTCTCTTTACTATAAAGAGATACTTACTTAGCTTTATAAATAGTCCTACTTATTAGAGTTAGGTTATTATAAAGTAGACATACTTATAGTACTCCTTCTTATCTTATAAGAATACTATAATATTATTAATATAGACTACTATAAAGATATCTAGATAGTTACAGAATAGCTAGTTTATAAAGCTCTAGAATATTATAGGAGTATTAGTAAGCCTAAAAAACATAACTAAATACTTAAATAATCTATACTTTATATAAAAGACTATTTTCTACTCCTACTCCTTTATAATCCTAATCCTATAATAAATCTTATAAAGATCTAGCTATATAAAAATCCTCCTCTTTATAAGCCTCTTAATAGTCTCTAAAATAAGGAGAAGTAGATAGTAATTCTTTAAAGTAATATAATTTAGATTATAATAATTAATATATAGCTAGAGAGTGCTATCTTTCTTCTTTATAAAAAGAATTAATATTTTTATTACTAACTTTAACTTTTAGATCTACTTCTTTATAAGTATTATCTAAAGATACTTATAAAGTATTACTAACTTTACTAGAGAGGAATTATAAAGAGGTCTAAAGAGTAGTTACTTCTCTTTCTTTAGATCTATCTCTAGATCTATATTTTTATAATATAATAATAATTCTTAAGCCTTCTTCTCTAAGAAGATTATATAAAAGTTTATAAACTAATTTAGTATAAAGTTCTTACTCTTTACTATCTCTTATAGGGTTTCTATAATTTATACTATTATAACTACTATATCTTCTACTTCTATAAACTCTTCTACTAAGACTAGATAAATTTATAGAGCTAACTCTATAAAGGATTATAGGGTTATACTACTTTAATTATAGCATCCCTAAGATAATATAATTTATATCTAGAGATATTACTATAAGCTCTATAAAGAGCTACTTTATTTTATTATTATCTTTAATTAAGATAGTAGCTTTTACTACTTCTTTATTTCTTATTTCTTATAAGATTAATATCTCTATAAAAATCTATTATAGTAGGGTATACTAGTTATTTTCCTTAGTTAATATTATAGAGATAAGATTAACTAAGCTTCTATTATTAATTAATACTTATAAGACTAGTCTCTACCCCTTCTCTCTTATCTAAGCCTAAAAAAATATACTTAGATAAAAGAGTAAGAATTTATAATACTTCTTATCCTATTCTTTAGTAATAATAGTAGTAACTAGCTATTTAGTTTTTATAGGGTCCTCCTACTTAAGCTTATTTAGGTAATATCTTATAATATACCCTTCCTTATTAT